ATCAGACCAATGGTCATCTGGTCAATGACGGCGCTGTAGTGTGTGGCAGCCTCGTCGCTCATACACCAACCACCATTCACAAATTCCAGACGGCCTGCGGGAGGAGCAGCTTTTGGTAAGGATGCACTGAAACACTTAACGCAGCTGTATAGTACTGAATGGGTATTTACCTTCATTAACCAGCTGTTTGACTGTCTGCTGCATGCTGGAGCTCTGACTCTTCCACCAGCGGTAGAAAAAGGCCGTCTCCACATAGATGAACCTCCTGTCTGGATTCTTCAACAACTGATCCACAACTGAGTCCAGGATGTACTGAACACCAGCATGCTGGATGTCATTACGATCTACGCACACAAATGTGCACAGATTTAGGACAAAAGAGACGTTATTTTGTAACACAGTCAATGCTTCAAGAAGTGGCCAGAATTTAGTTGCTGTGTGTCACAGTTTGAAAAATATTTATTTACACTAACGTATCTCTTAGCAAAAGGCCCACTTGGGAAAGTAAATCTGTTGGGCATTTTTCTTGGCCTTCAGACAATAATTCTGATTGCTACAGTGCCAGACAGGACACAAAAAAAAGAAAAAAAAAAAGATACATTTCCACATTTCGCACAGCCCCAACAACAGACAGTAGTTCGAACATGAGTGATGGCTGTCGCTCCAGTTCACATTCAAATCAAATCCAGAGATCATGTCCATGAACCACCATTAAAACACATCATAGGGCTTTAAAGCAGGAGGATAACGCTGCTGGTCACAAGACCCACAATCACTTGTAGCAGCAATCAGGAAGATATTTAGTACCAGTCAATAGAGCAGATTAACTTGCATCAGCAGAACTACTAGAGTAAATAGAAACATATGCAAACCTTTGACAGAGTAAACACAGAGCAGGAGGTTGGCTAATAGCTTCACAGTGTTTTTTCTGTATGTGTCACACTGACCTCCATAGAAGTACTGGTCCACAGTCTTGAGCCAGCCAACGTCATCATGTGTGTGCGGGACCAGGTGGACATTCAACATGCCCGGCTTGGTGGCATGACATGACTGCACACAGACACACACTCTATGAATACAGCTGTACTGCTCTGTCGGAAGAGTCATAATGTTGACAAATATTCACTCCAAAAAGTGATCGTCTGCCAAAAACTGATTTCTGGTATTTACCAAAAAAGGACTGCTCGCATTTAAACTGCTATACATAACTTGTTAGTCTATAATATGTGAAACCTATATCAAATGTATCCCTCATGAATGATACAAGTCATCTTGAGCCACAAACAACATTCCTGTAACAAAGTAGAAGCTGCAATCAGTTTTTGGCAGTGACTTTTATATATCCTTTATTTATGCAGTTAAAAGAAGCTTGTTGACATTAAAAATGTGTTTTAAAGAAGAATCTGGCCAAGAGGACAGCAGATATTGAAAGACATCTAACAATAGTTCTGTAAACATATTTTAAGTGGACAAAAATGATGGAACTGGTTGTAATGTAAGTGCAATAAGACAGAGTTGAAAAAGATGTAACTGTAAAATGTTATATCTAACCCCTTTGTAAAGCCTGTTGACCGAAGTCTATTTACCAACATAGGTAAAGATATTACACATAAAAACACAGGTAGACATTGGAAATCAGTTTTTGGCAGGCGGGCACTTTTTGGCACAACACCAGCACTTCCTTGTATGTGAGCACAGTCATGTGAGTGAAACAGAAAGTAGCGCTAACAGCTCCACTGAGCTTTTTGACATGTACCTTAACCCTAACACATGTAAATAAAATACAAAAGCGCGACATAAAGTAGCTAACCTCGTATCCGCAGGTTGGAACGTCTGTTTTCTTCTCGCCGAGAGGAAAACTTAAAACCACGCTGAGGATAAACAGGAGAGCTGTAGCCAGCTGCTGCGACCTGCCCGCCATGTTGGAAAACAACCCGAAAATCATGTG